ACACACAATTTGATGAATTTTTGTAATATTTCTTAACAGTTCTGCTCATTATTGGCTGCCTGTCCTCTGTTTATCAGTGATGTTTTCTCTCCCCTGAGACAAATATTTAATTCATTTGTACACTTCTCTCTTCTTCATGGCATTATCCCAACAAACTTAGACTAATTTGTCCCTTATTTCACTTCTACACTTGCCAAGCTTAATAAGAAACTTACTGTTTGTTCATTGCTATAATTCAATCTCCAACATTGTCACAATAGCATACAAAAACGTGCAACAACATTAATGCATACCATTCAGCAAGTCATTGCCACATGTTTATTTGGACACACCGGTAAGATACTGATATACCAAGATTATGAAACCCTACTCTGTTGTTTGTACAATTCTGCCAAAGTAAGCAAACAATCCCAAGTTCACAAACTTAATTGTCAGGATAGGTCTGGTGGCTCACACTTATAATCCAAGCATATTTGGAGGCCAAAGCAGAATTTCATGAGCCAGGAGTTATAGATCAATTGAGGTAGAGTAAAATTAGAAAAATTAGCTGGGTGTGGTGGTACATGCCTGAAGTCCCAGCTATTTGGGAAGCTGAGGCAAGAAAATCACTTGATCCCAGTAGCATGAGCTTTCAGTGAGCTATGAGTATGCCACTGCACTTTAAGCCAGGCAAAAGAAGGAGGCTCTGTTTCAAAAGACATGTAACAATAAAAATTCTAGAAGAGAGTGTGGAGAAAACACTTGACAATATATTGGCCTGGCAAGTTTTTTTTTTTTTTTTTTTTTTTTTTTTTGAGACAGAGTCTCATTTTGTCACCCTCGGTAGAGTACTACGGCATCATAGCTCAAAGCAACCTCAAACTCTCAAGCTCAAGCAATTCTCTTGCCTCAGCCTCCCAAGTAGCTGGGACTACAGGTGCCCACCCAGCTATTTTTAGAGGCCAGGTCTCCTCTGGCCCAGGCTGGTCTTCGAGGGTGTGCTTAAACAATCTACCAGCCTCAGCCTCCCAGAGTGTTGGGATTACAGGTGTGATCCAGAATGCCCAACCTGGGAAAAGATTTTATGAAGAAGACCCCCTCTAGCAATTGCAGCAACACAATAATAAATAAATGAGACCTGATCAAGAATGGGAAAAAATATCCAATGTACTCAATACTAATATGTGACCAATGTATAGACAACTATATGCCTACATGAATGATGAAATACAAATATAGTCTAGGGGGAGAGGAAAGGAGGGAGAGAGGAGTGGAGAGGAGGTAGAGTAATTTAGGGGAAGGCAGTTGGTGGGATCTCACTTAATATGAACAATGTGAGGGTGTTCAGCATGCCCCCCTGGATAAAGGGCTCAACTACAACTTGAACCTTACCCTATAATTGAAAACAATGTAAACTAAAAATTTGTACCCTTGTATTAATTTGAAGAAAAGTGCAAATTTGTACATCCACTTTTGAAAATAGTTAAGCAAACTATAGTTAAATATGTGCTTATCATATGACCCAGTAACCCTACTCTTAGGTATTTACCCAAGAAAAACAAAAACTTACTTGCACACAGAAACTTTTATACAAATTTTCTTAACAACCTTATTCATAATATCCAAGAACTTGAAATCATCCAAATGTCCTTCAGTGGGAGAAAGGATTAACTGTGGAATACTACATACATACCTACAATGGAATACTACTTTACAAGAAAAAAAGCAGCACAAACTACTGATAACACAACAACATGAATTAATCTCAAATGCACTATACTAAGTGAAAGAAGCTATGCTCAGTAGGGGATATATTTTATGATTCCATTTATATGGTAATCTATAAAGGTCAAACTTATGGGAATAGATCAGTGGTTTCCAGGGGCTGGGGTTGCTGGAGTGTTTCATTATATAGAGGCAGCGTGAGGGAAAATGTTTTAACTGATGGAACTATTCTATGTCTTGATTGAGGTGATGGTCTCATGACTATATATATATTTGTCTTACCTCTTTAAATTGTACACTAAAAGGAGTGAATTTTACTCCATTTAAATTTAACAGTGAATAATAATAATGATGAAAATACAGTCAATGTTCATACAAGCATACTGGCCAAGATGTAGATATTCAATTTTGCTCAACTCTTTATGTACAAAAACTAGAGTGAATTACCCAAAATTCATATTTTTAATAATGAAAAGATTGTGTTTGAACTAGTGATTATTTTATGGATTCTTTCTACTTTTAAACATTTTCAAGAATGAGTACTTATGAGTAATTTTTTTGGTACTTTTCAATTGCTTTAACCAGTTGGAGCATTATTAGGCCGTTGAGCTGGTTTTAAGTATGGCCTCTCATATATAAGAACATTGTAACAGTATATAGGAACTTATCTGAAATAGCTCCATGTGAATATACAGCCTGATATGTTTGGAAGCTCTATGGAAGCAACCATATTACTAGAAGCTCTATTTTTCTGATACTTCTAAAGCAACAAATCTAAAATAATTTACTCATTGCTCAGCTTTTTTCAATATAATATGCTTAGCGTAATATAATATTTTATCAATGTCTTAGAGTTCTCATTGAAACATTAATTCCTAACTTTGAGAGAGACTTGATAAATTCCATACCTGAACATGATAGACTTCATATATCATACTTTACTTAGAGCCACCCAAACTGGAAGGGAAAACATCTTATAATCCAGCATTTTATAGACTAGGAAGTAGATACTCATGGAAATTAAGTTATTTACCAAATAATCAGCAGTGGAGCTGAAGGTAAAAAATCTTGAGATAAGGCAAAATGAGTTGTTATTTCAGTATTTAATCCTCAATTCAGCCACTCTTCCCACCCCAACCCAAAAGACCTCAATTCTCAGAGAACAAAGGGCTTATCTTTTTATCTTTCACATAAATAAGAACTACACTTTAAAAACAAATATTTTATAAACTTTCTTCCTATTTTTTACAAATGATTAAGAAAGAACTTTTGCCATGTAGTTGTTCAATTTCTTACCACTTCACAAACTAGATAACTAGCATGAGTAGAGAATGACAGTTATCTTGCTCAAATGGAGGCATATAATTGTTGCAGTAAAAAAACAACAAAACAAAACAAAAACTCTTCCTAAAATCAGTAGGCCTCTTGAGCAAAGTGGACTTTCTGCTGTTGCTACTGGATTTAAGGAAAAAAAAAACTAAAAAGTTCAAAATATTTGTTGGCTATTAGTGTCAGTGGGAAGGACCCTCTGTGCTTTGTAAAGTTCAAAGCATACTTAGATAAGTGTAAAAGTTTTAGCCAGCTAATAGAAAAACATTTTTATATTATTAACGTTAGAGAACATATCATCACACTTTACTATCACCCCATATCTTGCACTTCAGGCTTTTCTGCAGTAGGTACAACCTTGCAGAGGAGGATCAGAGCCACTATTACTCTGATTATGTGTATGCGTTATTGGAGTTCACTAAGGCACTCAGAACCCATTTTATAGTATCTTGAATCTAAATTTACACCAGATGACGTATTTCAGGAATTTGAGCTCCATCTTCTGGCTCTTCTCAGGATTGTGACTGAACCATTTAGGAAAAAGAATCCTATTGCTCTGAAAGCTAGCAACCATGATAGCAAAAATTGCTTTGATAGTTGCTATCTCTACCCATTTGGTCAGGTTTGGGCTTACACATTAGTGCACTTGAATGAAACCTTCAGAATGCTGGTGGAGGTCTTTATTTCTGATGTTTCATGGAGAAACTACTCTCTATCAGATCTTTTAACATTTCATAAGGAAATGGATGCTTGTGTAAGCAAAAAGTCAGTAGCATAAATTATAGTAGATGGCTGTATGACTGTCTTTAATTTCCTTATTAGATGGCTTTATTTTTCAAAGTATTCAGAAAAAAGAAATTATTTTTAATTTCCATGTCAATGTATTTGTTTATTTCCATACAGAGTACACTAGAAAAATTTCTGTTTGGTTTGACTTGTAGTATTTCATTATCGCTGTTTTTCTAAATTTGAAGAGATAATTCCCTTGGGAAAAGTTTTTTTCTGTCTGTCAACTTTTAGGACCAACAATTTCAGTGTTACAACTATTAACAAAAAAATGAGATTGATTTGATCAAATTACAAAGGTTCTTTATAAGATGAACTACTAGAATTCATCTTTTTTAAAAAAGAACTTGACTTGACTTTTATTCTTCAGATTTACAGAGATGTTTTTCCTTGATACTAAACATTTTGTCTGTTGGCATGAAATATGAAAGTGTTTATTTTTACTTACATGTCAATTTAACTAAAAGTTACATGTTTTTATATCGTTTATTTTTAGTAAACCATACATGATTTTGAATTTTGATTTACATGCTATAATTATTAAAATAATTATTTTGGCTAGTATTGCCTAAAGCAAAGACTTTTTCATAGTCACTATCCCTTACCGTTAATTTTTAAGCTTTAAAGATAATTTTTGTTTTAGTATGTAAAAAGAACCTATTTATTTTTTCCTCCAGAAAGAGGAAAAATAAAAGCACCATTTTGTTCTACAGCACAGCTCCTAGCTGTAAGACATATGCCAGATGCCTTTCTTGACAACGAATAGTGAGTGTCCTTGTCAAGAATTGACCACGTATAGCTACCACCCTCTCTGGCTTTATTAGCCACAATTATTTATTTCAATGAAAGAAACTCCCACCACATGTACTCACACTAAGCAGATAAGAGCTTTCTTCTTTTTTGTATTTTACTTGTAAGAGATTTCTTCTTTTTTATCTTTCATTTTTTCATCTTTAAATTTAGTACATTTTCTGAACAAATCAATAAGTGATTGCCTTATGCATACTTTTCTCTGAGAAGTTGTCTCCCTTTAGCACACAAATTATTTCCCATTACCTGAGATTAATTCACTTAAAGAAATATTGCAGCTTGGAAGCACTGAAATTGTATCAAAGAAAATGTACAAATTCTACACATACCAAATTTTTATTGAAATTTTCAGAGTATCTTTTTTTATTTTTAGATGAATCTGCGTTCTGTATTTACTGTAGAACAACAAAGGATTTTACAACGTTATTATGAAAATGGAATGACAAATCAAAGTAAAAATTGCTTTCAGCTCATATTACAGTGTGCACAGGAGACTAAGCTGGACTTCAGTGTAGTCAGGGTAAGTATTGAGGTCTTACGCTTGAATGTATAGTTTTTTATTACAAGTGATATTTGTTTAATATGAGAAAAACTATTCAGGGTATGAGGTCAATAACATTATAAATAGCTTCATTTCCCTGGCATAACAATACACTTTTTTTAACAAATAGAAATAATCATTTAGTATGTATTTGCTTCTATAATTAACTTGAAAACACTAAAACCTTTGCAGTGTAAACATACATTTAAAAACCTCAGTTTTTTAAACTAACAAATACTTTCAAGATTAGTTATTGATATTGTGCTTTCTTTAAACCCAAAATTAATGTATATATAACCTCTTCAAAATGAGATCAATAAATCAGGCACAGACGGAGGGAATATTATGTACCTAATATATTTTTGTTGTATTTTAATTTTTCGTCAGGCATTTATAACTTTAGTATTTTTGCTCTTTTAGAAAAACCTAGTACATTATATGAATACTTTCTCCTCTTAAGTAAAATGTGTATAAATTAGGGGGTTAGCAAGAAAGTGTCAAGAAATACCAAGAGAGGAAATTTATCTTATCGCAATATTATTCAGCTGTATAAATCAAGAGCTGATGCACATTTCTTATATGCAATGAGAAGCCTAGAGATAGGTCTAAAAGAACTAGTTGTAGATTTTGTTGAATTCAAAGGTACTTTTATGTATGTCTGAACATGCTGAAAATTCTCTTGGTGTGAAAACTTAGTGATTCAAAGATTAGCAAATTTCCCATCCTTGGCACTTGTTAGACTAATTTGGGAAAGAGAAAGGACATCTGTTTTTAAGTTTATTTTGTTATTGGATGTACCTTTAAATATCCTAAAGATAAAAATCTCTTGATAAGAAAAATTCTTTGGAAAATATATTTCTTAAAAACTAAAGGATATATTAACTTTCAAGTAGGGAATTAAATGATATTAATTCTACAGAAAAATATCTGGAATATCTGTTTCTTACTTACTGAGATCAGCCTTCATACTCAGATACGTGTGAAAATATCTATTATGGGCTCAGCGCCTGTGGCTCAAGCGGCTAAGGCGCCAGCCACATACAACTAAGGTGGCAGGTTCGAATCCCCAGCCCGGGCCCGCCAAACAACAATGACGGCTGCAACCAAAAAA